AACGCAAGGATCATGAATGTTCATCTGTGTGAAACGTAGCCAGCCTGGGCCGGCGAAAAGTCGCAATATCGCTCCGTCTCGGCATCGTAGCGGTGCGAGGTCAGTAGGTCTAACGACCACGGCATGCTTTTACATGAGTACCCTCTCCGTCACCCTTCGCGCCTCACCGGAATAAGTTGATCGCACGGACGACCCATGGGCGGCGCGCTCCCTCCACGCCCGCACCGCCGTCGCGACCGCCGCCGCAGCCACGGCGCAAGAGATCCACATCGGAGCAAGCACTTTCCAGTAGTCCCACGTCTGAAAATTTTGAAGGGGGGTGCGGGTGGTCAGCGGACGTTACTGGCGTCGCACAACAGAGCGTACTACTGCACTGTAGGGTGCGCAGCAACGATCATGTTGGCTCGTGTTTCGACGCTCAGGACAGCGTTTTGATTCGTTGTTCGTCTCCGGGGCAGGGGCAGGCCGAGTCAGTCCGCCACCGCAGGACGCAACCGTGGTGGACATCAGGGGACACCATCGCGCTGCTGCTGCTCCTGCTGCGGACAGTCAGCAATCGAAAACAAGACCCAACACAACACAAGCTACCCAAACACCGAAAAAAAGCAAGCGAAGCAATCGAAGCAATCGACCAGAGCACGAAACGAAAAGCTATTTACGTACACATACCTACTTACACACGTGCACGTCCGCGCTGAAGTAAGGCTTAGGGTAGGGGGCGGAGGGGGGGGGGAGCGTACTCTTATGTATTGCATGCCCTAGCTGTTCGGCCATTGATTGACCACGTGTCCTCGAGACGGTGGACAACTGTTCCCACAGGACGGACCACCGATTCCTTTCCTACAATACAGAGGGGTGAAGGGGGGCTAAATTAACCCTTTTGAGTCTTCAGGCGTTCTCACTGATCATTGATTGATCATTTGCAAATGCTGGTGTAGTGGCAAGTCGTGGAGTTGCCGCCCTGCAGCCCTTCGCGCCGTGTATTGGCAAGTCCATAGGTAGGTGTGTCTAGATTATTAGCACCGGCGCTAACCGGCTGACCAATGAAGAGACTTCAGTGACAGCGGGTAATATCAAGGTCTCGGGAATGGGAATGGGGCCAATCAATGCCAAATCATGAATCTCTCAATGTATGCACATGTCAATAAACGCGTGTGTGCATACAGTACATACATACATACATATGTGTTCTTTCGCAGCACCACACATACACTCGCCCGAACGTAGGAAGCCACTGCTGCAAAGAGCAGAGGACAGCCAAAGGGAGGGGTATTGCAGTCCCTGCCGAAGCCCAGATATCGAGGATATCGTGGTTCCCAACAATTTGAAAATCGTTCCCAAGATCCAGCAGTCATTGTGTCAACAGCTACAACGAACGCTACAACAACACTACTACTACTGCTGTAGACGAGTAAAACATATCAGCAACACATCCACACTCGTAGCGCCACACATACCACCCTCGCCCGAACCTAGGAAACCACGAGGTACAGGTGTGTGCTGGTGGATGTGCTTGTTGTTTGAAAAACACAGGAGCTCTAGAGAGTTGGCAGGGCACATTTCGGGGGGGGACAGAGAACAGAGAAGTACAGAAGTACAAATACCAGCTATGGGTCTTCACTGATCATTTTGCCCTCTCTGGACTGATCATTTACAATATACCGAAAATAGACTAGTTGAGGCAGCTAGACGACTAATCATTTCAAAGGCTACACAGCTAACCTGCCCTACTGACCGCAGCGCGACCACCCACCAACCCTTCTACGACCCTGTCTGTGGCCACCACCCTGTCGCCGGCTTCTCTCATGGCCTACAGGTGGAGATAGCTGTTGCGTGTGCAGAAGTACACTGGTGTCTTTCTCTGCACTTCTCTCTCTCCCGCTCGCTCTCGCTCTCATTTTTTTTTTTTGGCGCAACAAAAAAAAATCTGACAGTCCAGCCTAGACCCAAAGGGGTTAACTGCTGCTGCTGCTGATGCGCCTCTTCCTTCCCCACGCTTGCCTGCACGTCTCCGTCTATCCAGGCCGCCAGGAACACGAGTGTCAGCGCCAGGCTCATGCCCAGGACGGGCGGCAGCACCCGCACGTGCAGGCAGTCCAGGCCCCGCTCGTAGCCCCTCCGCCGCCGGTCTGCGCGCTCCTGCGCCTCCCTCTGGATTTCTTTCTGTTTTTATTTTCATTTTTTTTTTATTACGAGCAGCGTTTTTTTCGTTTTAATGTGTAAACATGAAGTTGGCCAACAAAGAATATTTTTTTGCAGTATTAGTTTCTTTTTGCCTCAGGCAGGGCGGCATGGGGGAGCGAAGGGCCACGGCGAAGCAATCCAGCGCATGCTTCGCGAGGGTAACCAAAACGAGCGCGCAAAAATCACGCGAGAGAGCGACTCGGCAATCCGTCACCTTCACCCAAGAACCTCCCGCATACAGCAGCAAGTATCTCGCAACCGGCCTATGCATATATGTAGTATTATGACGGCACCACTATCTCAACTCCTCGAAACAAACAAAACAACAACGCTTGCCCACATCACGACGGACTCGATCCACTTGAGAATGGAAAAAAAAAAAAAATTAAACAAGAGCGCCTCACACTATCTCACTCACCCTTTGCTGCTTCTCAAGCCTGGCCTTTCTCTCCGTGAGCTGCTTCGCGTACTGCTCCTTGGGGTTGTCCTCCACCCCGAGGAGAGTAACGCCTCCTCCTCCTCCGCCGCTGCCGCCGTAAAGCCCGCCCCCTCCGCCGTCCCCGAAAAAGAAGCTTCGGCCGTCGCCGAGGGAAGCGCTGCCGCCGCCGCCACCGGCGCCGGCGCCGGCGCCGGCGGAACCGTCGTACCCCAGCATGGCCGCTACTGCTCCTCCGCTGCCGCCGCCGCCGTGGTGGCTGGACAACGAGAACCGCCTGTTGCTGTTCCCCCCTCTCCCGTGCTGCCGGCCGCCGCCGCCGCCGCTGCGCGAGGACAGCGACGACGGCAGCTGCGGCCACACCGCCCGAAATATGTCGTGGCGCGGGTCTACCGCTGCCGCCGCTGCTGCTGCTGCACCATCGGCCCCGCCGCCCCCGCCTCCCGCCGCCGCCGCCGCCGTCGCCGCCGCCAGCATGAAGCTCTCGCGACTCTGATGCCGATGCTGGTGTTGAGCCCCTCCTCCTCCTCCTCCGCCGCCGCCACCACCATCAGCCATGGTCGCTTGCAGGTCCGGCGGCGGCGGCGGCGGCGGCGGGACGTGTCCCAGGAAATCCCGCGCGTAGACGGCCGCCCACAGGACCCGAGAGCTCGTGCACCGGCGCCAGCCGCGGCTGGTCGCCGCGGCACGGGCGAGGTCGCGGGCGTCGAGGTCTCCCAGGATCGCCGCGGTCACGTCCTCGCTGACGTTGAACGCCTGTCAAAGGTGGTAGTAGAAACAACAGCAGCAGCAGAGGCAGCAGAAGCAAAGGCAGCAGAGGCAAACGCAACAGCAGCAGCAGCAGCATAAACGATTCAGGAGAGAACACCCGCGAACGAAAAAAACGTGTCTATTCACATGTGCACGGCATACCCTCGGATACTGTAGGCGTTTGCAACTCGGTCAAGGAGACAGCCAGTACGTAGTTCATCGGCGGCGCGCGGGTGGCCTTTTATTGCCGTTGGCAGGGCGTCAATTTCTAGAGGGGAGAGGTATACACAAGAAACCAATCGCTACGATGCTCACCTTCTTCCTCCCCCCGCTTCCAAAAGGATGAAAAAAAAAACAGCGCACGAGACTGCCGCAACTCATCGTCGCGACCAAGTTCCCGAACCTCTGACCGCCACCCCAAAACTTCACCTCAAAACGGGCCGACATGCGACGCAAGCCGAGCTACTCAAACGACAACAAGCAGGGCACAAACAACACGATGGTCCCACTGCAACGCATGACGCAACACGCCCCGCCCCGGGACCCGAAAAAACGGTTGTCGCCCATCCCCCACCCTCCGTCTCGAAAGGGACGCGTGGTCAATGGTCAAATGACTACGGCAAGCAACGAATGAGTACGCCCCCCCCCCCTCCCCTCCCCCCCTCACACCCCACCCACCTCAAAACAAGCCTCGCCGGGGGGCATCTCCTCCAAGACACTCCTCCCCGCCCCCTGGCCGCCTCCCTGGCCGTAAACGTTGTCTTCTTCGTCGTCTTCGACCTCATCTAACGCCGCCCCGCCGACCAGCCGGGGTCTCGATGACATCGACCCGTCGTCCGATAGCCTAAGGCTCCGGTCGACTCCCCAGCGAGAAAACCTCCCGCCGCCGGCGCCGGCGCCCGCCGCTGCCCGTCGATTCCACGGTCCCGGGTGAAGAACCTCCGGGTTCCGCTACCGCTGCCGCTACCGCTGCCGCTGCCGCTGGCCCCCATCTCCGAGGAAGCTCGCGTTTTTCTGACTCCCGCTCCTCCGTCTCCTCCTCCTCCGCCGTTGAAGGCGGCGGCAACGGAAGGGATGGTGGCTTCGGCCGAGTTAGGCGGCAGCATGACGGCATCCCACGACAGCGGAGGGTTCATCATCGCCCTCCAAGAAGCGGAGCGCCCAAACCCCTTCGTCCGATCGGCTGCTGCCGGATTAGCGGAAAGAAAGAGGTGTACACACAAGGGGGTTAAGTGAGCGGGCGGGAGCGGGGGGGGGGGGCGGGGTACTCATAGTCGTGAATGCCGTAGTCGTTAGACCATTGACCTCGCATCCCTACAAAGCCGGGACGGAGCACGCCGGGTTCTCACCGGACCAGGTTCTCACATCACCAAGCGCGAAGTGCCGTGAGGTATTCGGCGGGTCGCATGGAGGGTGCGCTGCATCCTACTAAGGGTGTTCGCTATCTTGTGTTTACTCCCTTGCGTACGGATGACAGCTGCGAACGACTTTATTTATTTCTGGTGCTTTCACTTCCAGAGACAGTTATAGGCACTGTTTAATTGCCTCGAGGGTGCTTGACCATTTTAACACAACGTGGTGCAATCATCCCCTTTGCGCGCGAAGGAGGGGGAGGTAATCTCTGAGCGTATGAGACAACACAAGCAAACGTTGCCTCGAGGCAGCAACTCTGGTCTCAAGAGCGGAGTGCTAAGTGGAACGTGTGTGCGAAGGGTTGTCTCCGCTCCTGACCACCAACGAACATCGACACACGGATAGCACTGGTGTTGTCGATTATCGACACACCGGAAGGAAGCATGTGTACGTGTTGATCGTGTGTCGCAAAGCGTGTGTCACGGAAGGGGTTTTGGCTGTACCCACCCCCCCACACATCCAAAAGCCGGAAACAGAAGAAAGGGTGGGTGGGAATGGGTGGGTGGGGGGCTTTTGCTTCCGTACGGTTCACCGACGAGAAAACTTCATTTCAAGTCCTGCGCGCACAAAAGGACACGTTCATTGCCTCCGTGGCACACACACACAAAAAAAAAAACTCACCGGCGCCGCGATCCGCACCGCCTACCCAAGAGTTTCGCCAACTCATACCCCCAAACCCGCCGGCGGTAGCAGCAGCAGTAGCAGCAGCAGCAGCGCTCCCGCTGCTGGCCGCCCTGCCACTCCGGGCGAAAACGCCGCCGCCGGTGCCGCCGTGGCCTTCCCTCGCCCCAGCCTCCGGAGAGTCGAGAGCGGGACTGAAAGCGGCGATCTCCCCCCCCTGTCCCCGTTCCTCCTCGACGGCCTCCGCTCGCTCGGGGCGTGCCGCTGAAGAGGCTCCGCTTGCGAGGGCTTCTGGTGGTTCCACGGCTTCCCCCCCTCCTCCTCCTCCTCCTCCTCCTTCTCTTCTCCCGCCGCCGTTGGTCTCCTCTCCTCGCGCCGACCCATCCGGCGCCGGCGGCGCCGCCGCTTCCTCCGCTGCCGGCGCGGCCACTTCCTCCGCCGTCGTCACCGCTGACGATGACGCCGCAACCGAAGACGACGACGACGACGCCAACGTCGACGCTGACGGCAACGCCATCACCGGGGTCGTGGGCCTGATCGCCCCCACCGCCGCCGCCGCCGCCGCCGCCGCCGTTTCCTCTGACGCGCCCGCGTTAACGGCTCCGCCTCTAGCGGCTGCTGCTGCTGCACCCGCTCGTTCACCGTCGGTTTCCTCTCCTCCGGCGACCGCGGCCGCCACCGCCGCTGTGGATCCCTCCAAGACACCGATGTCGCCCGCTCCTGCTGCCGCCGCCGCCGTCGCCGCTGAACCGACGGCGACGGTTTCAGGCGCCGTACGCCCGGCGGGTCCGGCAGCGGATCTTGCTTCCGCTTCTCCGTCTGCCTTGGGTGGTGCTGCAGCATTTGCTGCGGCGGGAGGGCCCTCCGCAGGGCCTGAAAGCGGCGGCGCCTCCAGCGACGCGCTTGGCAAATACTGCCCCTGCTGCTGCTGTTGTTGTTGGTTCTCGTCTTCCTCACCCTTGCAGCTGCTGTTCCCGTTGGCGTTCCTGGGGTCCAAGACCTTCTCCTCGATGCAGCCGCGCTCCTCTTTGCTCTCGGCAACCGCTAGCCGCGCGAGGGAAGACGGAGAAGCCGCAGGCGAGCGGAAGGGGGAGGAGGAGGAGGAGGAGGAGGAAGAGCTGCCGCTCGACGACGACGAGGACAGCAGGGACGACGAAGAAGCGGAGAACGACGAGCCCAGGACACGGGAGGAGGCCGACCCGTAGGAGATCACGGACGACGACGACAACGACGCTCGAAACGAACGGTGGGCTTTCGCTTCACCAGCAGCAGCAGCAGCAGCAGCAGCAGCAGCTGCTGCTGCTGCTGCTGCAGGAAGGCCGTTCGCCGCCGAAGGAGCTTCGCCGCTCGTTTCACCAGCGCTGCCGTCAACGACGCCTCTAGCCTCCCGAGCGTTTGACGCTTCAGCGGCCCGCAAAAGTTCGGCCATGGTTGGGGCAGCCGCCTCCGCGGCGTGGTGCGGTGCCGCTTGCTGCTGTCCGATCTCCGGTAGCACGTCTCCGCCGCCGCCGCCGCCAGCGCCGACCTGCGCCATCATCATCAACATCGTCGATATCAGCTACCGATAAGACACAATCAAGTAGCATCCTCGTCTCTGTGGGGGATGTTCGTGGTACGTAGGGTACGATACTGGGGGCATTTGCGTGTGTGAGGGGTATGTATGCGTTTGGGGGTCCAAGTGCGGGCCGCCCGGAAGAGCGCACGCACGCAGTACTTGCGCACACGCTCTGTTCCTGCAATCATACATGTTCTCTATTCTTCATCAGCCGTTCCTGGGATAACTTATAGTACCTGGACTCAACCATCGCTTAGGGCGGTGGCGCCTCTAGCACGACATCTCATAGCCCATTCCGGAGGTGTTATTTGTACCAGTGAGAGAATGGGGGCATAGAGTTGAATGTTTCGGGAAAAGCTACAGCAGGGGGAGCTGTTACCGTTAACTTTGCTTTGGTATTTTCTGGGCATTGCATAGGATGGAAGATTTGGCATGTTTCGGTGAGTAATGGTGCGCGGGCCTTCGTGCTTCCCGATGCTCGTTTTTATTGGTCAAAAAAGTTGAATGGTTGTCTTGTTCAGAGGGGTTTTCGTGTGTCACCGTCCCGACGCTGTTTTCTGACGTAGCGCTGACGCTTGCCGGGTTCGGTTCCTTCTTTGAGGACGAATACTCTGTCGTTGACGGCTTCAGATCGCTTACAATGACGAAGGTTCGTGAGTATACTGATGGAGGCGCTTTGAGTTGAACGCGTGGCTACACAGCTTGGTTGAAGATGTTTCCTCAAAGTGGTGATATTTTTGTATTGGTCAGCTTTTTAAAAGTAATCGTGAAGGATGTCAATATATCGTCAACACATCGTAGCAAGGGGGGCGGGCTGTTTATCGTACCTTGGGCATTCTGTTTGTGAGGGGTATGAATGTATGCGGTTGTGTGTCCAAGTGAAGCCTCCCCGAGAGAGCGCACACGCGCGTGCTACTGTATTACCAATGTAGCAATATCAGGTTGTCGTGTTGTGTGAGTGTCCTTACGCACACGCTCTGCTCGTGCATACCACCAAACCCGGTGTAACACGTTGCAGCTTATCATGATAGGTCCGAAAGCTACGCATTTCTCACATCAAGAAGTAGAAGGGTCACCGAAGATACCAGAAGGGTCACCGAAGATATGCACCACCTCCAAAAAATAACACCTCTTGTCACCTATAGTAGGCTAAACGTCAACATTTCACTCCATGTCGTCTTGTGTGGAACACTGCACTCTGCTAAAGGAAAAGAAACGAATTTCCTCGGAGGTATGTAACAAGCCGCTGCTGTGACAAGCAAGTCAGGCGCGACAACGGCGCTGAACCAGGCGACCTATGATACATACCATATGGCAAACGACTACAGCAGTATAGTCCTATTGATAGATACAGCGAGAAACACAGGCAAATGCGGTTTGATGCTATAGCTCGTAGGGCAACCTTTTCGCAGCATAGCTTGCGTTCGCCGTGTGACAAGACGCTCTTCTACGTAGAGACTTCCAACACAACACATGCACAAAAATGCGAGACAGAGGAAATCTTACTGCGCGACCCTGGATCGCAGCTCTAAAGTCAGTAGTCTAAGCAAGTTGACAGGGATATGTAGGAACGGTGCACGTCTTTTATGATATGGGTCTGCGCGCGCTCATCTTCCTCTTGTGCGTTCCTAGCCCACTGCACGGGTAGGTGCCCCCCCCCCCCCCAAGGCATACGCCGAGGGACCATACGCTACAACCGGCGTTGCGTCGTGAGCTATAACTGCTGTACATGTGCGGGTGCGGGGGTGTACATCGAAATCCTAAATTATTCACAGGTTGGGATGAACACCATCGATCGAGAGCATTTCATTTTGAGAACAAGAGTTGGCGTAAACGGCGCCAAAAAAGCAAAAAGGAAGCTCCACTTCAGTACTGCGCACGGAAAAGGGGAAGGACTTTACAAAATGACCGTTTTCACGTGGTAGGGGAAAATCAACGCAATCATGCACCGGTCCAGAGAAATTTCCCGTGTGATCGACTGGCCCGCGGATCGGAGCTCTTCTCGTTGCCCCAGCTGCAGGCCGCAGGGTACATGGGGATTGATCGGCGCTCTTGGCTTCTCCGGCGTGGGTACAAGTACATATTCGCAACGCAAACGGGCCAGGTCCATGCTTTTCTGCACGCCCCTCGTGCAGTACGGAATACGGCTGTTGATCGGACCTCAATAAGACCGACATTGCTTCTCTCGAGAGCGTGCCAATGAGGGTGATTGCTGCTCGCTCCCGTGTGAATACTGTATCAGCGAGCCAGCGGACCCCTGTAAGTTGTTGTCAAGTGATGGCATGTTTTCCCGCAATTCCACACCTGCCGGGTCATCCGCGCGTAGTCACGACGTTCATCTCCATCGGTACCCCCGCCCTCGCCCTCGCCCGCCATGGCCACCAAGCCCGCACACTACGGAGGAACCCGCCACACCTCTTCCCCTCAAGGGTCCCGCTGCGGCCTCTTGGGTGTATCCTCGTCTAATGGGCGCTGAAGACGGCGTGCAGCAGCAGCAGCGGCAGCAGCAGCGGAACAATGTTGATTTTGTAGCCACCACGCCAAACCAATTTTCAACGCGGCACTGCTGCGTATCTTCAAGAAGCCAGTTAGGCTAGACACGGCTTGATCCTCTCGACAGTCTTGTGCCCCTGTTGGAGGTGTCGGGACCCCCTCCCAAACCAGCTGAAACGTTGCAACGGCAGCTCCAGCTGGTGCTGTGTACCTGCCTGTGTGGTCCGATGCTAGAGGGAGCTCCGCAAAATGAAAAGCACTTGATAGGTATCTGTTCTTGTGTGCGAGCTCCCCTATGGAATGGTCAACAGGTTACAAGGATGGGTTAACGGTTGCACTTCACTTCTTGTGTCTCCTGCTGCGTGTGCAGTTGAGAGAGTGTACGTGGGTTTGGGTAACTGCGAGGCGACGACGAGAAGAGATGACGTCGCCACCTCCTCCGCCTCCGCTGAGGTTCTCGTCCTACTCCCTCCTGGAGGTGAGCTGTCGGAGCATTGGGTGTGATGCTGTGGTCATGTCTACCGTTCCACGATCGCGCTCTCGCCGAGTGTTGTGCTGTCTCCCGTGGGTGGGACAGAGCTCTCACCAGCAAGGCGTGCTTGGTAGTCGTATCGAACGAACTTTCCCCTCGAACCATTGCCTTCTGTGGCGAGTCCCCGCCGCTCTATGGTTGCTAGCTCACTGCTGCTCTGAACATCAGTCCGTGATTTTGCGGAGATTTGCAGGAGGGTAAGGTTCACACACACACGAGCGGACACCCTTTTGCAGGAACACACCAGAGAGTGCTTGTGACCCACTCCTTTGGTTTAGGAATGTGTCCAGCAGTGACTACAATGTAGACGGTGTGTCGAGTTTTCAGTGATAGATGTGACCACGTGGCCACCTAGACGCAGCACCGAACACAAGCCGCAAAGTCGGTGCCCTGCTGTATCACCCGGTTCCGCCGCACGACAGCAGCGTTTGACATTTAGACTACACAGCTGTATTCCGCGGAGGGATATTCTGTGCGTACATCATAGCCTGGTATGTGTCTACATCTGCGTTCTGTGCGTGTTTCCTGTTCCAGCCATGAGCATACTCG